CTTCTTTTTGGTCCAAGCCCATGAGGCCCGTCGACGACCTCGAGGACGAGTACACCCCTTGGGGGCTAATTTGGATGTCCGCCTCCGACAGGTGGGACATCATTGGATTAATGGAGACATATAGATGAGCTCCGAAGGGCCTTGGGCGGCCTCGGCGCCTTCAACGCCCTCGGCCTCGCCCTGCTCCTGCTGAGCTTGTGGGTGGGGCTGGGGGTGGTGGGTGGAGTGCTGTATGCGTTCCGCCGCTGGTTGTGTACGGTCCAAGAAGAAGCGGGGTAGGGGATTCTGCCAACTGTACCCTAGACACTGGTGGGTTGACGCCCGCTTTGTACAATTTTATATAATGTATTTTTTTCTGTATGTATACAGTGTGTTACATTACCTAAAAACAAAAATAAACACAAATATAGAATTAGTATTTTTTGTTTTTTATTTTACTCTCTTGGCTTATAAATTGATTATAATGAGCAAAGCAGAAAAATAATAACGCGGTCAATGGAAAGATCTTTTCTTTTATTTCTGAGTTTACGTGTCTATATTTCAATGTAACATCCAATATGCTTTTTTATGCATCTCTAAGTATTACACAGACAGGAATACTTAACCTGGACCCATATATATGTCTTTTTCAAATATTTTCGTAACTAATAAACGATAAAATACAATGTGGAAATATACAAGGAATCTCTAGTGATACATGAACCGGAATGCCTCTAGTTATTTGTTGCCTTGAATGAGTTATAAAGTTCCAATACAGCCGACAAGAATAGCTGTGCCGATTTGCTTCCGCATTCATCGAGTTTCCTGTTGCTGCCTCTCTGCTCAGCTGCCGACCTGAGTGACCTCCCATCTCAAGAGGGGGTCGTTATCTCCTCGGACAATTTTCGTGTACCGCTAAACACGGGCAAATGTTATAAGCAATTAGGTCTGATTTATTAAGAAGACAGTTTCATATTTGATGTTACATGTATAATTATTTTTTAGGTTACAGTTAATTTTCTGTTATTATTATTATCATTATTATTATATGATCTTAATGATTGTGAATGTGATCATTATGATTACTTGTGTATCACAATTAAGGATGTGAAACATTCTATCTAGTCATCATAATGACTTACAGTAGTTAGCTATTATAATTATTTTTAAAATAAAAAAACATCCTCCTCATTTGGATTTCCTTTTAGGTGTAACTCTATTTGCTTGTGGACATCAGTATTATTAAGAATATCTATCTATATATGTGTGTGTTTGATTACAGTTTGATATTTTGCGATGTCAGTGTTCATGCAGTTACTATTAAAGCGATAACGAAAAAGACATAGATTGGCTGTTCTTGCGATGACGTGAAAGTTTATTCAGAACAATTATCAATCAAACATGCGAGAAGAAAGTTTTATTGCTCCTTTGGAATACTTCAGTTTATTTACTAAATTGTTTGTTTTCCTCTCGGCCGCTGTCCCTCTTTGTGACACTCGTTCTTTATCTGTCTTTATCTCTCTCATCATATGAATATATATATGTGTGTGTGTGTGTGTGTCTGAGTTTGCCTTTCTGTTTTCCCTTTTTAATTCTTTCTCCTCTCTCTCTCTCTCTCTCTCTCTCTCTCTCTCTCTCTCTCTCTCTCTCTCTCTCTCTCTCTCTCTCTCACACACACACACACACACACACACACATATATATTATATATATATATATATATATATATATATATATATATATATATATATATATATATATTTATATATATATATATATATATATATATATATGTGTGTGTGTGTGTGTGTGTGTGTGTGTGTGTGTGTGTGTGTATGTATGTATGTATGTATGTATGTATGTATATATTCTCAGGAAGCTAAATAAAAGGACATTGCTGGGGCATGTAACTCGGGGAACAGCCTATGATGTAATGGTAAACTAGGAAAATGTTCATCAGCACAGGACAAGTCATAAATAGTTTCAACAGAAGAACGAATGATTTGAATTACAAGGAAATACATAGATATGGAAGGGGAAGGGACGTATACAAGATACAGTAGAAGGGGGAGTGAGGTAAATCACATATACAAGGAGCAGAACTTCTTGGGGAATGAGTACCTACGCAGGATTAGGGTGAAGCAGCATATATGCCCCAAACACACATTCTTACATCACACGTTTTATTTGGGTCAATGGTTCCTTAACTTTCAGTTTAGTGATGCCATCCCTAAACTCATCTATTTTTTTTTCCCTTTTTTTACCACATTCTCATCCACCCTTCTTCGCCAGATCCATAAATTCGATTGCATTACTGCTTGTTCTTGAATTTTAAGATATTTTCCTTGTGACTATGCGTCTTAATTGGGCACATAATCTTCGGTTATTTTGTCTCGAGCACAGTAAATCCTGAAACAGCGAAGATTTTCAAAGAGTATAATTGGAAAAGGTTACCAAAGTCTGGAGGGAGAGTAAATAATTCCTCAGAGCAAGATGCATCATTTAATGTTTCATTAGTCTTATTCCGAGCATACAGAACTAAGCTAAATTCTGGAAATACATTTTTCGTTGATTACAATAAAATAATAAAGATGATTACATAAAAAAGACATGACGCTGCACTAAAAAAAATAATAATAATAAAATAAAAAATCCTTGCTTCCGAACTGCTCTATTCTCCAGGTTCCAACCTTTCAGCCTTTGAACAAAGAAGCCAACATGCAACAAGCCATTACATCCCGTCCTATCGTCGCAACATGAGCATAATTAACAGAGTTAGCCTCATCCACTCCTGGCCTCCTAGACCTTTACGGCTGAAGATAATTGGCGAGTGAGCAAACACGCACGTTCACATCTTCGGTTGTCCATGAAATTCAGCCAAAGCCTCTCTTGGGATAGACTTTCCGGGTGTTACTATACGAAACGTGATTTTCTCCTAGCTGTATTGATAACAGTAATTGCTGTAACCATTTGCATTTGTAAAATAGAACTGATGCTATTAATGCTAAGAATATGACCACAGTACTACTAGCATCTATTTTCATTATTATTACCATAAGTACTGTTATCATCCATTGCTTGTGTTAGTCATCAGCGTTGTTCTTATTGTTAACTTATAACTGAGTTAGTGGGTATTCAATTGTAGGTATGCAAGCGTGTTATGTGGGGGTGGGGGTGGGGTGGGTGGGTGTGTGGTTGTATGTGGACTTATGTGAGTTCATCATTGTCGTTGTTATCTCTATTTTTCATTGTATCTGTTGCTGCGATTTCCATTATTATTGATAATAGCAATAGTAGTATCACTGTTGCTGCTATTGCTGTTATTATCATCTTTATTATTACTATTATTATTATTTTCAACATCATCATTACTTTATCATTATAATTACTATTATTATTATTGTGATTATTATTATCATTACTATTACCATTATCATTATCATTATAATCATCATCATTATCATTATTATCATCATCATCATAATCGTCATCATCATCACCATCACCATTACCATTATCATTATCATTATCGTCATTATTATAATTCTCATCATCAGTAATATTCTCATTGTTATCGCTTTGTTATTTTCATTCTTATTACAACAAGTACTACTGTTATCAATATCACTATCATTATTATTATCATAATCATATGAATATATATATATATATATATATATATATATATATATATAGAGAGAGAGAGAGAGAGAGAGAGAGAGAGAGAGAGAGAGAGAGAGAGAGAGAGAGAGAGAGAGAGAGAGAGAGGGTGCATGCATGTGTGTATGCACTACTAGTATCATTATCATTACAGTCTTCACCTTCACCCATTTTAATTACACCAATTTTTTCTAAGGCTTTTGAACGTTTGCTGATCAAATGTCTTTCTGTACATTTGAGACCGTTTCTTCCACAGACTCAGTTTGGTTTTAGAATGGGACTCGGCTGCAATGATACATAGCTTATGTTGGTGCATGAAATGCAGCCTGCTTTAGATAAGGGTCATGAGTCAAGACTTCTCTCTCGTGATTTTAGTGCAGTTCTTGACACTGTCAATCACAAAGGTTTATTTTTTAAGTTACAGTCTGTTGGTGATGGTGTTAATGTTTTAAGTATTTTGACTGAATTTTTAATTGGTTGGCAACAGCGTATTCATGTTGATGATAGTTTTAACTCGTATTCCTGTGTCTTCTGGGGTTCCTCAGGGTAGTGTTCTTGGTCCTATGCTCTTTATTATATATGCAAGCGATATGTGGTCTGATATTAGTAATAAAATGTTGGCACATGCTGATGATACTTCTCTCTATGCTGATATTTCTTCTCCGGCAACTAGGCAAACAGTAGCTGACAGTCTCACTGTAGACCTGAGGATAATTCAGTTGTGGTGCTCTCGCTGGAACATGAAATTCGATCCTACCAAGTGACTCGTTATAAGGAAATGATTGTGAACCTGTCTCGGACATAGTTGGGCATGCATCCAAGTCTGCTGATTAATGGAGTCTTACTCACTTCATTAGATAACCTCAAGCTCTTAGGTGTAACCTGTGATTCAAAGATTACATTTGAATTATTTGAATTGCATAATTAGGAATATGGCCCAGGCAGAAATGCCATGTCCAAGATAGGCATCATTCACAAGTGCAACATGTGAACATGAAAATATTACTCGTAGATGCTTTTCTTTTATTCTGCCTCATTTTGAGTTTTGTTCTCCTGTGTGCTCATCTGCTGCAGATTCACACATAAGCCTACTTGATCGTTCTTTTAATTCCATTAAATATCTCCTGTCTAACTTAAATTTGGACATTGTCATCAATGACATTTGATGTAAGTCGTCATCATCATCATCATCATCATCAATAATTAAACAATGAACATAAAAAACAAGTAATTCTAGTTTCATTCTGAAAGAGAAAGGCTTCAATACTATTGCTAATATCCTATTAGCTATAGCGTAAGGAAATGAGGTCAAATGAAAGTAGAAAAATGGTGCTATGTAGGATTAATGAAAACGGTAGAGGTATTCAAATTAAGTAGACTTTATTATAATCACTAAGGTTACAGAGCTGAAGCAATAAACATACGTGTTGGTAGATGGAGCTTCATTCGTTACTCTTTGTCGTTCTATGCAACACAGGCATAAGTACAGTATCATTTTGAAAGACAAAATCATTATTATGATTAAAACAGAAATAAACAAAATCTGTCAATATTATGTTGAATGAATAATAAATAGACAAATAAGTGAATAATGATACAATAAATCATGTTATTTCAATTTACTGGAAAACAGTAGAGAGATGGCTTTTGATCTGAAAATATCAACAACAAAGAAACAAAAATCATAATAATTAATGGATACAATTAATATAAAAGCAACAAATCAAGACTCCTCAAAACATAGTCATAGTAACAGTTTAAAAAAGTGGAGAAGAAAGAGAGAGAGACAGAAAGAGAAAAAAAATAGAAACACGTGGCAACCGAAGATACAAAATTAACTGCCACTCACTGAAGCCACTAAGACAGCCAACATGAGGTACAAAAAACAGCAACGAGCAGTAATGCTTCACCTGGTTCCCTTATGGAGTTAAATGCTAATACAAAATGATGCTAAATAAATGACTTGCAAGTTTATTGCTAGCCTAGTATGACCAGAACACAAGCTTGTACTTCCAAGCTTCTTGGTGTGACTAGACACAAGGTTCTTTTTCTCTCTCTCTAAGACTTAGTGTGGACAATACCTAAAATACTTTGCAAGCACCCTTGTATTTAAGCGTAGTCACAATTTGCGTTTGTTGTGCAAGATGATTACAGAGTTGATTTCTGTCTCTTTGCTTTCTTTCACTGAATCTACATTCAGAAGATCAAAAAAAAAAAAAAAAAAAAATTACAATTAAATTAAAATGAATCATTAACATGTGTCTTTGTCACATTACCATTTCAATATACTGAATAATTGAAAATTAAAATCTTTCTTGAGGTAAAATCAGGTATTTAACATAAAGTCTGTACATAAACTATGCAATATTAAAGTATTAAAACTAGTAAATATAATATATATATATGCATAAGCACATTCAAATATTTGTTTGAACATACATACATACACAATGAACTCACATAAAGACTCCACACACACAAGCACAAAAACACACTTGCATACCTACATATGAATACTCCCTCTTATTTCACTATGTCTGTCTGTGTACATATATGCACATGTACGCCAGTGTGCTTGTGACTGTGCATGTGTGTGCTTGTACATGGGTGTGCTTGTGCGTGTATGAGCTTGTGCACATCTGTGTGCGAGTCTATGTGCGTTTGTGCTTGTACATGCGTACGAGTGTGCATGTGAGAGTGCATGTGCGTGTGTCTGTGTGTGTGTATTTGTGCATGTCTGTGTGCGTCTTTCTGCTTGTCTGTCTATCTATCTGCCTAACTGTCTGTCTGTCTGTCTTTATCTGTCTGGTTATCTATTTGTCGGTCTGCCATCAATCCGTCTGTCCGTTCATCTGTCCGTCTGTCTGTCCGTCCGTCCATCAGTCCACCCATCCACCTGTCTGCTTTGCTGTTTATTAATATGTCTACCTATCTCTCTAAACAGAATGATAACCGTCTTTCTTCAGAGTACCCCTCAGTCACTCAAGTGCTCCTTTTACATCAACAAGACAATGCATATATGTTAACAAACAAATAAAAAATGTATGCCATGTGTATATACAGTACATAAATCATAAAAATAGGTATACAATTTACCTTCATTGTGCGCACATCGTCAGTGTGTGTTGGCAGGTATCTCACACCATGAAAGGGATGATAACTTACAACTATCATCATAACTAATCCTTGTCTTAGTTCTTCCAACCATGCATGCAGTATTACTTTGGTCAAAAGAGCACCATACAAAAATACCAACCCTCCACTCTCCTTATAAAATACCATATGGCACTTCTAATTTGTGCAGCTTCTTAGCCTTTGTACTTCCTACAAAAAGAAATGCTGCTGATCAACTTCTTGGAACAAAGGACAGTTAAATGCAAGACTGATCAGCATTGTGTGACACGAAAAAATCTGTAATTACGTTACACTGTGTACAAAATTATAAAAAATAATGAAGCAATAAAGATTTATCTCTTTGTCTCCTTTGAACTTACAATGACATCTGATAAAACATTACCTTAGCTTGATATATGCTATATCAATAATACATGTGTTTCTCAATCATATTTGCCTTTGGATACATGATCAGCTCTAATATATACACTACCGTGTTTTTTTTTTTTCGAATACATTATAAATCTGATGTATAAAATTTGAAAAATCACTGTACTATGAGCTCAACTTTCCTATAACACATGTTAATTCAATAATTTGGTAAAATATTAACATGAAAATCCCACACATATTGCCTCTTATAGTTTCTCAATAAGAAAATTTATAATGAAACCCTTGGAAAATTTGTTTTAACTGCACTCCATACTGATACTTAATTTTCTTTTTTCTTGCAATATTAATAATTAGTATAATGGAATCATCAGAAAGGACATCACTATACTGCAAAGACTTCTTTACCTTTCTAATCCACATACACATTCACACAAACATAAGGGTGCACAAAAACAGATAGTTCTGTGCATGCATGTTTGTCTGTGTGTATGTGCAATTATTCACTCCCTCACTGATAAAATGATAAAGTCAGCAGTATAAAAAAGGGGGGGGTTCTCAGCAAATCTTGCTTAAATTGGTCCCACACATTTCACCATAAGACAGCTGTATTAGGAATGATTATCTTGCTGCATCATAGCCATACCTTTACAAATTAACACCATTTTATCAAATGACACTGCAAATGAAGCCAAATTACACACCCATAGGCACACACATGCATTCACACTAACTATACATTAAAAGGCTCCTTAACTTACACTAAGCATGTGAAGGATTCGCATATAAAAATATCAATGTCTTCAATGACCCTTCGCACAAAATCACAATCTTATATTATTCTTAAGGAAAAGCACAAAGCAATGATCACCAGAACATGTTAGACAAGAAAACAAAACATACACCTAATTTAGATATATATATATATAAAGCTACTTAAATGCACTTAAGGAATCCTTGGGCACAAGCAATTCAAATAAGGAGTGCTTAATAACAAAGAAAAAAATATATATGAAACAAAATATGAGAAAAAAAGCATTTGCAAATAATCATTCAGACAGACAACCATATAGCATGACTTCTATCTTACCTTTCTCAATACTTTCGAATCTTTGATTTTTATAGCAAATCAAATAAGAATAAACATATTGTAATCATAAGCCACTGGAAGACTTTACACAACAAACAAAAGATGTTTTTGATGTTTGAATTATATTGAAATACTTTATCAAATTTTCATTGCTAGTGAATAAATAGGACATTGAATACATCTAAAAAAAATAAACAACTGATATAAAAAAACACATTAGTACCATAATCATTACCTTACTTACCGTTTTAGATTTTTATTCACATGTACTGAGCATTTCACAAGGCAAAGCCACACCAAATATATGAAAGGAAATACAATAGTCACCATTTTTACAGCCATTTCATGGAAGTGTTATCTATCTCAAGCACAATAATATAATACTTATTATCAACAAAAATATATGAATCATTCAGAACATCTAATCATAAAACAAAAATATAAATAAATACTGCTCAGATGATTACACTGATAGTGGCAAAAGCAGGAAGGTGCCACGACCATCAATGGTCCACATGATACCTTAAATTTTACCTAAAGTATAGAGAAAACTGAATAAATAAAGCAAGATAATACCTTTCAAAAGACTAACATATATCAGCACTGGGCTTTGATGTAGATACTGACAAGCTTTTGAGTTAAGCATAAATCATACCCCCTTGTAACAGATAAAAATATATGTGAAAAAAAAGGACAGAAAATGCAAAATACAATACACAAAAAAATATGTGGCCTAATGCACACTAGTTCTAGATCTAGGCACACATTGCACCATGATTTAAGCATTATAATACCTTCACATCACAAGCTTTTAAGACTTGACAAAAATATAAAGGATGGCAGTGTTATTCACTCCATTATCACACAATGCAATTACCATTATCATTACTTCTGTTTATCAAGTTATAATCAACAATTCAGAATGTGAACTTCTTTTCAACATGCCTTCTCTCTCATATACTTCACACTCTGCATCAAAAGTCCCTCCTTATCTCAGACATACATGTAACAAGCACTCATTATAAAGTTAACAACAACTTTCTTTCAACATTTTCAGCTTTACTTAGATCATGGAGGAATCCTCATGATTGTGATTCTTATCAGGTCTTGGTGGTTTCTTGGGGGGTTCTGGGGAGACTTCGGGAGATCCTGGGGTTGCCTGTGGGAACAGCCAAAGTATTTAGAGGTAAGCCTGGATAAATACTGTCAGGTAGTATTCACACTGAACAAATTGCAAAAAGAACAAGGGAGAACAAGAAAACACACAAATATGCAGAAGGCCTTTTCCCTATATTTCTACTTCAGGGCCCTGAAGAAGCAATAAAGCAAAAATTTCAAACTATGTTCAAGTTGACTCAATGATGGATATTATTATACAATCCTTAACCCCTTTGATCCAGGTGACATGACCATCACGTCATGAAAAAATTCAACTTGAGGGGCGAGTGACATGAACATAATGGGTAAAAATGGCAGTGGGCCAGGTGACACAAACTTGCCATCATGAGCGAAGGCCAGGGTGACAGAAACGGCTCCCTACAAATGCACAAACCTCTTGGAGGGAGTTAGATTCATTTAACACTTAGAAAAAGGCTTTTGGATTATTTCCATCATCAAGAGTGTTTTTTTTTTTTTTTTTTTTTTACAGAGAGATGATATGGAATCAGTGCAAGGAAAAATGTCTATTACCATTTGGATAAAGCAAATCAAATGCCAAATATGGACATTGAAAAAAGGCAAAAAGGCTAAATACGCTAATGCAAACCA